TCCTGCGTGTCACCTTTTGCAAACATACTGGCAGGCGAAGCGGTGGAAGAACCAAACAAGCTTTTAAATTCCGTATTTGATGATATGTTTGGGGACTTTTCATGGACTGGATTTTGGGCTGAATCCGACTTTTGGATCCCGGAGTCGATAGTACCCTGAGCCTTATTCCATACTCTATCTTCATATTGAATCGCTAAATCTGGTTTGAAAGAACCGGTTTTCAAGTCATGTGCATGGAAGATATACCACGATTGAACCTTACCATCGTTCCCCAATACCCAAACAGAAGGCAACCAAGAGGCTTCTGGTACACCAGGACAGGGATCCGTTATGGTGTCCTTTAATCTGAGATCTATAGTTAATCCAATAGGATTGACATCATTACTGGTTTCCTCATTAATTGGCAATGTTGCTCTTTCAGAGTCATCTGCAGGGGCTAGTAGTTCGTTGGAGGTAACAGCAGAAATATCTGTAGACATTGAAGAGCCCAACAACGTTAGACAAGGGAGTGATTCAGAGAGCGAATGAATTTGTGAAAGATAAATAGTAGGTCTTCTCCAAACTGTGCCATATGCAGGAACAGCATCGTATGTTTCTCTGAAACTGAATTGGGTACCTTGGACCTCAATGACAAAATGCTTAAAGTCAGTTGATGGCTCTTCCTCGTCATTTTTCTCAGCAGGCTCTCCAACCACAGCGAATAAAGAGGTTTCATCGATCCATGCAACGGAGAGAGGATAATATTCATCGTCAATTTCCTCTGGCAGTTCAATGTCCGTCTGTGAAGATCCACCCAAGGATTGCAGACTAATAATGCGGCCTTTTTTGGCAACAGCAATCTTGTCAAGCTCATGATGCCAGCTGAAATCAAGGACATCTTGAGCCAGCATACTTTGAGTACTGGACGCCAAATCGATTTTAATTAATTGACCGTCTGACAAAAGCACCAGAACTGTAGATCCATAACAAGGGTTCGAGGACACAACTTCAATGTCAGCGCTAAAAGCAAGTTCTTGGAATGAATTGGAGACATCTTTGTAATCTCCTGTCACTTGTTGAAACAAAAGCTTGCTGCCTGTACTAACAAGGAGTAATTTCTCATCTGATGTAAAATTAACGCTGTTTATACCAGGAATCGCAAGCCTGTGTGCATCTGACTCGTATGTGTCTTTACCTTCAACGATATCTTTCTTCAACGATTCTAGTGAGCCGAGAACCAAGTCATCCTTACCAGCAGCCACAAAGAACCCCTTATGTGAGGCATATGCAAAGTTGGATATGTGCTTATAAGGCAAGTCTTCGTTGTAGTCATCAACAACTTGTATTGGACTACCCAAGAGTTTGAAGCCAAAGTCCTTAGGGCAAGGTGTTAGTCATCGAAACCAAATTCTTAAAGGAAGAATACAGTACATACTTCACTCGTGGTTGATGGGAAATCTTCTTCAAGTTCACTCATCTTTCTATAGGATGATATCAATGGTGAAATCACCCGCTTGAAGTGTTGAAAATGTAAACAAAGCAGTTTCTTTTGATCCCCATCAAAATTTGAAGGCTGAAGAAAATGTTGTCGCGCGAAGAGTACACCCGCACACCATCCTATACACATAGGGGAAGAGCACTCCATTGAACGTCGTTGCTGGAAAGAAGCGGTTGGCTCTTAGAAGATGAAGCTATATTTACATCAATTGGATACGTTTGTGAGCGGAGCTGAGGGTGTTCGAGAGTTCATGGGTCAATGGGAGGAGGAGGGAGCTGAAATGTACAGAGATCAACAGATGTATAGATCAACAGATATATATAGATCAACAACTACAGAATAAGCACAATAGAAGAATCCTTGTTAGGAAGTAAAGTGTGTGTAAAAACGAGTTCATCCCTCAGTCACTTAAAAGTGTCTTAAGCAGAGAAGGTCAAAGTCCAACCCAACTTGTGAACTGGCTCAGACAACTTCAAAGCGTCGAAAGAGGCACCCAAACCCAACTTGACACCTGGTCTCAAAACTTGGTTGTAGGAGACGGCAGCGATACCAGAGTCAGCAACCTTGGCCTTGACGAAAGCAGAGGAGTCCAAAACGTGCTTGACAGCGGTCTCAATGCCGACGGACTTACCAGCAGCAGCGTCAGCCTTAGAGTCCCAGGTGGCCTTAGCACCAACCTCGGTAACTGGAGAAACCTTGTGGTAGTAAGCAGCAGAGAAGACGGACAGGTTAGAGGTAGCGGTAACAGAGACGTTGTAGATTGGTTGAGCGAAACCAAGAGCAGCAGAATATCTGGTGACCTTACCGGAGCTGATGTCGTAACCAACCTCAGCACCGGCGGTGAAGTTCTCGTAACCGAAGGTGGCATCACCGATGAAGGATGGACCCTTAACCAAGTCGAAGAACGCACGTGCGGTGACAGATGGGTTGTTGAAGATCAAGTTGAACTTGGCACCTTGGGAAGCACCTGGGATCAAAGAGGTGACAACCTCAGCTTTGAGACCTGGGGTCAAAGCATCGGTAAGCTCAACCTTGGTGTCCAAAGCGTTGGCGGTGTTCCAGCCTTGAGTCAAGGTCAAACCAGTGGCCTTGTCAGCAAACTTGGCCTCGATGTTAGCAGCAACGGAACCATCCTTTGGAGAGGTCTTACCCTTGGTGGTGAAGGAGACACCGTTTGGAGCAACAGTGGAGATCTCAATGGAAGCTGGGTTAGCGTGGTAGAAGTCCTTGTTCAAGAGACCGTTTTGGTTCTTGGAGATATCAGAGAATGCTGGAGGAGCCACTAGAATTGTCGTGTTAGTCAGGTGTACACATCAATTGCCCGGAGATGCTGGCCATGCAATGACCATGTGGGCAGGCAATTTTTCCCTTGGTGATCATCCACATAACCGTTGACATGAATAGAACCCAAAGACAAAGCGAGAGCCAGATAATGAGCTCTCGGTTCAATTGACCCGACCATTGCCATGTGTCAGATCACCATAAGGTCACTTACTTGTGTCTTGAATTGATTGAATAGTTTATGGGTTGTCTTAACGATGGTGAAGGGGAGAAGGAAGGGAAAGGAAGAAAAGAAAGAAGAAAACAGCTCGAGGGCAAAAAAGGCCCAAGTCGTTGAGGGGGATCCTGCCAAAAAAATTGACGCATGGTCTCCGAGATCCCATCGTATTACTACAAAGGGTGAAAATTTTCGTAAACACAGTTAAAATGGCACGTGAAATAGTGCGACGAATGCGCAACTCATCCCAAACAGGAAATTGGCGTCCAAATGCGCCCTATGAAACTGCTGTTGGGCCAACGGTTTTTTGCGCTGCCTGGGTGTATTTTCTCCGTAAAAGTTGTGTCTCTCTCTGTGTGTGCGTATCTTTCAAATTGGTATAGCAAGCATTGAGCTCATCACATCATCAATCTCAGTCATTCAGTCATTTGGTTCAACTTTGTTGCTGACCTCCAGCACGGGAACAACAAATCGGAAAACAATATACACAGACGCGGAGCTGGAACTATGTGTCAAAGGAGGTGATCTAAGAAGTCAATGCGTATTCCCCCCTGGATGGCGTGTTTAATAAGTTATAAAAAGCCAGTTGATTGGTCAGATTGGCTTTTTTCGGCCCGCGTATAACTCCTACTGCCTATAAAAACGCTGCCAACCGTGGGGTGCCCATGTGCCCTGTGCCATGTGCCCACTATAATCGCAACAATTGCGCATATCACTCCCGCACAGTGAAAACATGTGCCTTGTGTTAACTGTGGAGACTTGTTTGCCAGCGTAGACGCGTTGATCTGTGCAGCCCCAGAATTGGCAAGTTTGTAAACGTGGAGAGTTCGGACTTCACTACCGATATCATTATGTTAACAAGAGTTCATTGTAGATTTAGTCATGACAGTTTATATAATAGGCAAGCATCCCCCATTGAGGTAAACCAGTTACTCGTTCTTTCTGGTGATCTTAATTCTGACAGCCTTGATTTGGGTGTAGTTGTCCAATGCTTCAGAACCCATCTCTCTACCAATACCAGATTCCTTGTAACCACCGAATGGAACCTGGTGGTGAAGATCGTTGTAAGTGTTGATCCAACAGATACCAGCCTCCAATCTCTGGGAAACATCCAATGCCTTGTTGATGTCAGTTGTGTGGATACCAGAGGCCAAACCGTATTCCGAATTGTTGGCTCTCTCGATAACCTCGTCAATGTACTTGAACTTACAGACAGCAGCAACTGGACCGAAGATCTCCTCCTTTACAATGGTGTGGTCGTCGTCACAGTCAATGAACACGGTTGGCTCGAGGAAGTAACCCTTGTTACCAATTCTATTACCACCAGTCAACAACTTAGCACCTTCAGCCTTACCCTTCTCGATGTAGCTCAAGACAGACTCAAATTGATCTGGGGTGGTTTGAGCACCTTGGAAGACACCCTCCTCGAATGGGTTACCAACCTTGAGCTTCTCAACCTCCTCTTTGAACTTAGCAAGCAATTTGTCATAGATACCCTCTTGGACGTAGATTCTGGAACCAGCACAGCAAACTTCACCAGAGTTGAAGAAGATACCAGCAATCAAGTGCTGAACAGTAGTGTCAAGGTCAGCATCATTGAAAACGATATTTGGAGACTTACCACCGAGCTCCAAAGTAACCTTCTTCAAGTTGGACTCAGCAGCAGCAATCATGACGTCTCTACCAATGGCTGTGGAACCAGTGAAGGCAATCTTCTTGATCAATGGGTGTCTCAAAATAGCGTCACCACACTTTCTACCAGAGCCTGGAACGATTTGAATAACACCTGGTGGGATACCAGCCTTAACAGCCAAAGAAGCGGCGTATAAGGCTGATAATGGTGTAGCAGAGGCTGGCTTCAAGACAACAGTGTTACCAGTGGCTAAAGCTGGACCAATCTTCCAAGACCACATCAAAAGTGGGAAATTCCATGGGATGATTTGACCACAGACACCCAAAGGTTCTCTTCTAGTGTAAGACAAGTGAGTGTCACCAGTGTTGATAGTTCTACCGTCAATGGTGTTGGTGTAACCAGCACAGGATCTAATGTAGTCGATAACAATACCGACATCGAAACCGGCACAGAAAAGAGACTTACCGTTGTCCAAGGCCTCAATAGCTTTCAAAGTCTCCTTTTCCTCTTCAATCAAGTCAGCCAACTTCAAAAGAGCTGTAGCTCTAACCTTTGGCTCGACAGTAGACCACTTCTTAAAGGCCTTGTAAGCACTTTGTGTAGCAATCTCAACGTCATCGCGGTCAGCCTCTTGCAAGTCACAGATCTTCTCCTCGGTGGATGGACTGTAGACTGGGAAAGTCTTACCAGAGCTAGATGCAACGAACTGGTTGTCGATGAACAAACCAGTTGGTTGGTCATACTCCACACCGTTTGGCAATTTGATATGAACAGATGGTACAGTAGTCATTGTGTATTAGTTTTATTCTTTAGAGATTGTGCTTGTTTGAATATATTTCACAAAGTATGTCTTTCTACAGAAAAGAAGGATTCTACTGTCCTTTTATAATCCAAGAAACGGGTCATAAAAAGGGTGAACTTGTTCCATAGCCTCTACTGTCATACTTGTACAGGGCGAGCTGGGGCTGGACAGGGTGAACGGTGAACGGTGGGAGTCATCACTTTGTTGGGCAACACAAGTCATGTCGGTAAGATATGTACATACTACATACAGATCTTTTTCCCACTAGTTAATATCCCGGGACAATCTTCCCCAGTCCCCACGCTTTGGAAGGCTACAGGAAATACCGTGTTTCCCTTCCACAGTTCCGCAATGGGTCAATGTGTCCTGAAGTGCATGTTATTTTCCACTTCCAGCATCCAGATGTGTTTCTCGAGCTGAAGTTCTCCGTTGGCCGTTGACGGAGTTTCTTTTTATTCTGTTTTGCTTCCTGTTTCTTCTTCTGAGCCGAGTTCTTTGAGCCTAAACTTTAGGCAGGGCGGGCTGAGAGTGGGGCAAATGGAGGGGCAGACTCTGAGCCGATAGTTACTTCAACAGGAAGAATGCAACTGCTGAGGGAGATCACCTTCAACATTCAGCACTTGAACTCAAGGATCAACAGAAACTGAATTATTGACTGAAATGAATATACCGTGACTGTAGGCGCTAGCATCCAACGGACCCGCAAACCGACAAAAATAAAGACGAATGAATAGTACAAGACATCGCCCCGTTCTGTGAGTTTTCCCCTTTTCCCTTTTCCGGCCTATTTCACCTGTATAATAAAAGAAATCTGGGGTAAAAGCCAGAAAAAAAAAGGTGACGGACTTAAGCCCATTTTACGTATAGCCGCACTGCTGAGACTCTGTGATCCACCTTGTACAAGCTTCCGGTTTGATCATTGTTAATTCACACTTGCATGAGGTTGATAGGAGAATCTGATAAGATCAGCACTATTCTTTTGTACCAAATGATATCTATCCATGTTGTAACTACTAATTCCTTCAATGTTAGGCCAGGTGGGCATCCATCGTTTGTCTTTCGTTCTGTTAACGGGTAGAGAAACGGGTCCGGATAATACCTCTTCTTCCCCAGATTTTTACATATTGGAGCACTTTTGGAAAGTACATGCTCTGTAGAAAGGGAAATACATATCTGTGTATAAGCTAATTCCAAGCAACTTTACAGCTTTGGCAACTGCTCCCCACACGTCTTCATTGGCCCGGTTTTGCGGAGGATTGGGCATAGACCTTCTACCACCTTCTGTCATGGGACTGAGATCAGAGTTTCGAACCATACAATGATGGTGACTTGAAACTACATGTGTGTCTTTAAACCCTCCAAAAGTGTAATTGGCTAGCTGCTGGACTTATCAACTCTGCTCTCCATTCCAATCAAAGATCAACAACATCACCTCCGGTATCGGTCATATAAAAATCCTGAATCAACACACCAAACTTGGTGAAGACCGTGCTTCATTGCACACGACCACCTGCAGCACATACAGAAAACACCATAATAATACGGCAACTACAATGAGCTATCGACTGTGTTGATTCTGACGATTGGTGTCTTGTATTAGCAACACAAATAACTACAAGTGACTTCACTCAAGTATCGAATCGAAGTCGCAGTTTAAAGGAGAAAGGTTGTGTGGGCTTAACTCCATTACAGTTCCTGTACAAGTAGGTAAAATTTTTTTGGTGCGCGTGTGCTACATGTAATTACTTTTTATGACGGGCTAAAACAGACCCGCAATGCCGTCACCCTGGTGAAACGTTCGTTTCTCCACAATTTCATCAATGAAATCTTCGGTGGACAGTTGTCCGTTTAGAAACTTTTCAATATATGCATTTTTTCAGTGTTTCAAGTGCGCTAAGTTTATTGTGTTGAGGGACACCGAAATGGCAATCCTGCATACATACGGGGAGTTTCTTTCCAGCTAAAACCGTCCAACTCGGAGATGTCCAGCGGAATCGACTCTTGTCCTGTGGAAATAGCGTGGAGGCAGAGAATCCCCGAGGCTTCAAGTTTACCTAAGCATGGTGCCTTAGTTGTGAGAGTTGTTACATCCAAGGTTTCAGCCGATTCTTGATAATTGATGAATAACCAGCCGATGCCGTTTTGCCCCGGGAGTGTCCCCAGACTTTGGGGTATCCTCTGGCCGAGTTCTCCAAGTAAATTCACGCTTTCAGTGGTTTATGGCATTATCACTACGACTAGGTACAGTAACAATGAATCTCTCTTGTTCGTTATTTTCCGTCAAATAGTTCGTATGTAGGTGTTTGATAAGAACTATGAGCTCTTTGCCTGAGCAATTTGGTTTTGAAGATCAGCGTATTCAGCTTTTTTCTTTTCAAGGTATTGTTCCAGCACTTTCACTTGACTTTCAACAGTGTCAACGTCACTTGCAACACCAGCAAGGTCGGAGCTGCTGTTGCTATCAGAAATCAGCTGTTTCTGCTTGTATTCCAAGAGTTGTTCCAATTCACGTCTCACTTGTGCTGTGGTTCCTTGACCATTGGCTCTCTCCTTTTTCTTACTTTCAGCAGCAGCTTCAGCCTTGGCAACCTTTTCCTCGAGATCAGTGAGCTCTCTTTTAAGACGTACTTCTTCCCAATCTGTACCTTGTGTGGATGAAAAATCTGTACCCTTTGTGTTCTTTGCGAGTCCAGATCCACCTATTCTTTCTAGATAATTCTCTGCAAAAGTGTGTTTCGATGCTGGTTGTGGTTGTGAGATAGTAGCCTGATGGGAATCAAGGGAATATTCTGGTTGTTCTTTATTGAAAGTAGCTCTCAGAGCCGGTGGCACTCCTCTAGGCATTTGTTTACCGCTGTCTCTTTGATTCAACATATGGAGTAACACCAGCGCTTGATCTTTGTCGATTGTCTCTGAGGAGCGTGGGTTCACAAGGTTCCATGCAAAACGGGCATCTTGGTCAGCGACATTGGTCAACGTGGACAACAAACCTCCCAGGGAATCAAAAGTAATACGACCAAATCTATCAGCCATTGTGGAGTAAATCTGTTCATAGGTAGCCTTATCACCTGGAGAGATGTACCAGTCAAACTGGGCGCCTGTCAAATCCTCATCTTCTGAATCCGAGTATCTCTGAGATTGGTCTTGTCCATTGAGTGCCCTGTTTGCCTGGATCAAATGTGCCTTGCTCGAAGGGATAAGCCAATCAGGTAATTGTGATGGCAACACAGTCATATTTTGGTTAACAAGGTCAAAGATAAGACGCATGCAGATACAGAACTCTTCAAAGTCCAATTGACCATCTGCATCGATATCAGCCAGGTCCCAGATCTTACCCAAGTTATCATCGCTCAGCTTGGAGTTCTTTAAAACCACAGCCACTTTATCACCGGACAACTTATTATCCACAGGCTTGAGGCCGCTAAAGATCTCCCAGTACTTTTTAATCTCAGATTGTTCAAGCTTTGGCATCTTTGTCCAGGGTTGGAAGCTCCACTTTTTGTTGTTTATACTATTATCTAGCGCACTTCAGGTGGTAATGGAAACGGGGGGACATTTCGGCTTTCCTGATGAGGTTGTTGTTGATTGAAGCTACCACAAACGCGCGAAAATTACCCAAATGGTAATTTCGAGACCCTCGGATATTACAGATCTATGTGAGGAAGAGACAAATTGACTGTTACACCAGGTCATTTGTGTGGTTATATGCCATATACCACAGTACTGGAGTCCTCTGAATGAAAGCCATCGGCTAAATCCGCCCCTCTCGTCGCATGTTTGAAGCCATGTCTCTAAAACAAGTGCCCGCCAAACCTGTTCGCCACGTAGGGTAACCGAGATGTGTCGCCTACCGCTACCACCCTCCAGAGAAGTGGTTTATCACCAGGGTTCAAGCCGTCGATCTACACGAGTCGATACGACCATCCTGTGAGCTGTCTATAGTGCTTCGACCATGTATATATACCTATAAACAGGAATACGTCCCTAACACAACAAATGCTGTACATGACACACTCCCAGGAGCGCAGTCTGTACGCCATGATGGGGATCCTGAGTCCTCCTAAAAGATGTCAGAGTTCCAAACCACACGTTAATACCAGAAACTTATCCAAACTCATCAATTGCCCAAACCGGAAGTGTAATTCATGTCCATCTCCCAAAACAGAACTTCGGTTGCCCCTTCGAGAGTAAATTACAGGTTACTTAACAGACGTGCTGCGATTGTTTTCAGAATCGAAAGGTACCTCACAGGCCCACAGGAGCTTCCTCCTAGCGGGCTGAGCGACGCGTATCGCTTTCCCGCTGCCTGGAGCCCGCGACGAACGCGGTGTTTTAACCTGCGATCTGCGTAAGCTCGCAGCCTTTGAGCCTTCCAACGCCGCTTGTCAACGCGTCTGGGTATCCAATTGCTAAGGATTCAATGTAGAATATCGCATCAAGTTAGCATTGAAAGGTTCATATCACAAAAGTAAAATGGTGAATACAGCATTGCCTGTGTTGACGAGTTGCAAGTGCTTTCCAAACATGTCTCAAAAGTTTTTTCTTCCCTTCTTCTGCCTTTCCAGTTCTCCTATACCCACCTTCTTGTCAACCACCATCTCCGTACCAGACACATACACCACTGGACAAGCAAATGCAACTCACAACTCTGGTGAAGGTGCTGCTAGCATCTTCGTCGACGGTGAGGGCAACGATAGAAGACGGGTTCCCATTTCAAGAACAGCTTCCAACGATTGCGAGAGTGGACCAGGCGTATTCGTTTCAAATCTCAAACGACACATTCCAATCAACTGAAGGGGATGTGACGTATTCAGTAGATGGGTTGCCTTCATGGCTATCATTCGACACAGAGTCTCGAACATTCCAAGGAACTCCTTCTGAAAGTGATGCCACTGACTCACTCGAATTCACGCTTCTAGGTGAGGACACAGCAGGAGACACTATATCATCACAATGTACCATCGTTGTGTCGGAAGAAGAAGGACCAGAACCATCGACAGACTTCACAGTGTTGAACCAACTGGCCACGTTTGGACAGACAAATGGAGCTGACTCGCTTGTATTATCACCAGGAGACGTGTTCAACATAACTTTTGACAGGAGAACATTTGTATCTAACGACACGGTGGTGGCATACTATGGCCGTTCTGTTGAACGTTCCCCACTACCAAGTTGGCTCTTCTTTGACTCAACAAACATCAGATTCTCAGGTGTAGCACCTCCAGCAAACTCTGAGATTGCACCTGGGTTCCAATACAGCTTCAGGCTATTTGCTTCTGACTACGCCGACTATGCTGCGACTTACGTCGATTTTGGCATAACTGTCGGTGCACATGAATTGTCAACCACTCTAAAAGATACAATCAACATCAATGGATCAAGCGGAGATACATTGAATTACCAAGTTCCTCTATCGAGTGTTTACCAAGACGGTGTGCCAGTGTCTTTGGCCAACATTTCTAGTGCAGTGCTTACAAATCAACCTTCATGGATATCATTAGACAATTATACTCTAGTTGGCTCAGTTCCTGAAGATTTCACTTCTTCTGATGTGTTCGAACTTGTCATCAGTGACAAGTATTCAAACGCAGTCAGTTTGTCGTTCCAAGTTGAATCAATCACATCACTCTTTGCTGTCGATTCGTTCAGATCTGTGAACGCGACAAGAGGTGAATACTTCCAATTCTACTTCTTGGAGACTGATTTTACTGACTATAGCACTACAAACGTCTCCGTTGAGATCACTGACGCAGATTGGCTGTTTTACAACGAGTCAAACCTGACTATTAGCGGTGAAACTCCGGATGACTTTGAATCTGCTTCTGTAACAGTCATTGCAAGTCATCAGGACCAAGAAGATGAACTCACATTCATTATCTATGGCGTTGATCCGATCGAGGAATCATCAAGTTCCAGCTCCATGTCTCATACGTCCTCATCTTCCTCCTCATCTTTCAGCTCCACTTCCTCAACAGCTTCAACTGTTTCTTCATCGGTAGTAGAACCAACTGCCACGGAATCCACAACTCCACTTGCCAAAAGTTCTAACTCTAGCAACAAAAGTCTCGCTATAGGTCTTGGTGTTGCTATACCTTTGTTCGTGTTGATAGTGGCCGGTCTGTTATTGTACTTTTGCTGCTTTAGACGTCGCTCTAAAGGAACGAAAGATGATGAGGAGAAGAAATCGCCGACTATTTCCAAGCCAATTCTTGGTAACCCTGCAAATGGTAACACACCAAACATCCCACCTGGTGGCTACTATCCAAGTGATTCTTCATTAGTTGACGAGAAGAACGAAGCTGTAAGACTTGGTGCATTGAATGCTCTAAAGCTGGATGAGAAGGATTACGACTCCACAACTTCGTCTACGACAAACGTTGAGGCGTTTGACTCAGCAGACGAGACCAATGAAGATATTTATCATGATGCAATGCAAGCTCAAAGCACCGATTTCTTAATGGCTAATCACAATGACACATCTACTGCTGCTGCTGTTGCAGCAACAACTGTCCCTAAGAAGTCATGGAGACAAACTGTGGATTCTAACATCAATAGAGAATCGTTAAACTCATTGGCTACAGTATCGACAAATGAGCTGTTTAGCATTAGACTCGCCGACGATGATACCATTCCAAAGGATCCAAGGAAGTCAAATTTGAACTTTAGAGATTCTGTATTTTTGGGATCGACAGTCTCGTCTATCCTATCAAGAGATGATAGTGGCAATATCCAAAGACTCGATAGCGATGGAAACATTGTTGAGAAGGTAAAGGATCCAAGGTCCAAATCGAGGACTTCAAACTTGGATATCTTGAAAGAAGAAGGAACACCACATCCAAACGAATATGGCAACCTAGAGGGTGACGTTTCCTTCACTACAGCAAATAGTGGTAGCACAGGTGAAGATTTCTACCCAGTCACACAAGAAGATGGACAGGTTACGTGGAAGCAATCACCATTTAACTTTGAAAAGGGCTCAGTAAAGAGAGATCCTTCAACCTCAAAGGCAAAGCTGAAAGATTTCACCAATAAGAGCCGCTCTTCACAAGCTGATATAAGCAATGATATCACAGTATCGACTGGGGAGACTGCCGAGATTGAATCTGTGTAATTGTGAGAAGGAATAACGTATAACTTTAGGGACTTTTGAATTTGGCGTCGAGAATTTTGTTTTGATATGAGATAAAGCACACTCTTTTTTTTGTGATGTACTAATATAGTCTATTGTTTTAAGCTACTCCATGTAGATCTATAGTAATATCGATTAAATATAGTGAATATCAGATTGGTAACCTTACAAAGCTTGGCTCTTGATTTGTTCTCCATAACGAGCTGTAGCTTGGGCTCTTCTTCTACCTTCAATGAATTCAATCATCTCGGAGTATGTTTCAGGAATCACAGAACAGTAACCTGGGTCACTTTCACCTTCTTGAGTAGCGTCTCTTGGGACGAAATATGAGTAAATGAATGATCCAGAAGGAGTAGTTTTCTCATCGTTCAATGCTCTAACAGATGTATCAACTTTCACTTGGATCAAAGTTCCTGGTCTGTTCAAGAAATCATCCGGATCATTTGTGAGCTTGTTAGCAGGTGTAGTGTCAAAGTTCAACAAGCCACCAAATTCTTGTTGGTGTTCCTTGAAGGCTTCCTTAGAACGAACTTCTGCTTCGTGAATGTGCTCAGTATAGACAACAGTTGATTTCATGTAGAGCACGGAACCCACAGGAACTGGTGCTCTAAAAGTAGTGGAGTCCAAAGACACAAATCTTGGGAATGCATGAGAGAAAGCAGCAGCATTACAGTAAGCCAATTCAAAAGTTTGTCTCATCAAGTAACCACCAAAGATCATATAGGAATGTCTGTTTCTGTACTGGGGTTGCATGAACGAGGTTGAATTTGTCACTGTATCCTTCATAAACCCAATGTTTTTTGGCATGGATTGGAGTGATTCAAGGTTCTTCGATTCAAGATACATGTTATGGATGATCTGTGATTCTTCAGCTGTTGGTGGCTTCTTAGATAATGTCTCCTTTGTAGCGGCCAGCTTCTTTGCAGCGTTATGGGATTCTGCCCTTCTGAAGTCGATCCATTCCTTTTCAGAGATTGGTAGTAACCTGTTAACAGGGAATGATTTATGGGTCTCAGGGTTTCTCGCAACAAAGGTGAAGTTCGCAGTGAGGAATACGTCCTCCTCTTTGATATCTTCCTCTTTCAAATCCTTCTTGACGTCTTTATCAGTAGCAGATGCCTTGATAACAATTTCCATTGAGGATCTACCAGTCCAGATAACAGAGCCTGACAGAATAAAGTTCTTGTTCTGGATGTCATCTACTCTTTTAACCATGTAGATTCTATCAACACTTGCTGTCACAATAATCGGCATGGCAGGACTGACATGTCTATAGGCAATTCTTCCAGCAAGGGCATCTAAATCTTGAAAGATTTGACCCATACGCATTCTACCAGCTGCGCTTGCATAGAAATCAGTGAGCCAAGGATCCTCCTTGAATGGCAACACCAAATAACTGAACGACTCTGCGCGGGTCTTGTCCTGAATAACCGGCTTTTGAGGGGTATTGTAGGAATATGAGTCAATCACTTTACCCTGGGCCAATTGACGTTTTCTCTCAGCGAGTGCTGTCAACCAAGTTGCTCTCAAGTTTTTATCCTCAAAGGACTGGTTAATTCTGTTAACATCCCTCTTATCAGCAAGGAACGTGGCGCTGGCATCTTCAGCTTTACTACCATCGCTGGA